GCTTGGTCTTTCCTGTGTGGATGCCTCCTTGAACCCATGCCCCCTCCTCCCTGATCCTATCCTCCTTCTGCTCCTTTTCTCTGGGGTGCCAGCCCCCAAGCATGTGCCACTGTGAGTCAGCTCCTGACAGGTCTCATGACTAAAGCTGTAACAGGTGCTGACTTTTAGCTTCACAAAGGAAGCTTCCTACGTCAAGTGGTAGCTGCTCGTGGCACATGAGAAGGAGCAGTGGCATGGGGGTCACTAGGAGGCAACTTTTAGTCACTTCGAAGTGTTTGCAGACAGGGTTTGCCTCATAGGAGGGTGATTTTTTGAACTATGCGAATAATCTAGCAAAGGAAAAGGCATCTCTAGGGATATTCACACAGAGGGGAAAGTATTTGATGAGGGATGATACTCCAAAAAAGTGGAAGGCTAAAGTGTTTGACACCATCATACTTTAACTTGATAATTCTAAGGAATTGGCTAAGACCAAAGAAAAAATCGGACATAAGAGTGATGGCCGAGGGACAACTGATATGGAAGAACAGGATGTGAAGGGGGAGAGAACCGGGTCAGGAAGCTTCCAGAATTTACTCTGTATTTTTCATTTGATCTCTTCATCCCCAGATGTTTAGGTTTTGTTCAGCTCTAATACACCTTTCTGATCCATCATACCTCACCTGAGGGAGCTAAAAACAATTATGTAAAACATTGAGCTCAAGGACAGAAAAATGTAACCAGCTCCAGTTGTGGGCTCATGGAACTGTAGACTATCCAGGCCCAAGGATCTTGCCTTCCACACCATCTCCAATGTGTAGCCATTGTACTCATTGTCTAACTTGCCTCTTCTGGCCCAGTGGGTAGGAGTACATAGCAGCCAGTGACTCACGGACAGTGGGCCGCACCAGGATCCTTCCTTGCAGACACTTTCTCTGCTCCTCCGTTTCCAAGATGGAGCAGACCCTGCTTACCCATAGTTCGTTCTTTGCATTCTGTGACTGTTTTGAGTCAGAATGCAGTCCCTGCAGGAAAAGCCACCTGGTGCCCGCAGAATCCTGAGACTTAGTCACTCCACCCCCAGGCATGTGTTCTGTGTTGGAAGGGTCCTGGCCTAGGGACATCCCACATCCCTGATAAATGGTCTTGTTTGTATCCTTGCAGATCTTAATCTCACTAATACAATGAATTGAACTTATCTTCTTCGAAGCACTCTTCTGTGGAATGAAATAACCCCTGTTGTTGTTGGTTTTTTTTTTTTTTTTTTTTTTTGAAAAAGGTATATTTATGCCAGTGCTTCTGAATCCACCTCCCTTTCCTTACACTCATGTTATATGGGGCCGTCTGAATGCACAGGGCAGGTTGATAATGCCTCTGTCTTCCTAGTTTATTTCAGGACATCTCTCCATTAAGCAAAACTGTGGGGCAGACTGGCAGCTCCAGCTTTCATGGGTTTTGTCAGGGAAAATATTATAACCTTGTAGCCTATCTTTCCTAGAATTTCTTTTGAAGGTGTCTTTGGAATGTTTCCAACTGCACCCAGTCCATCTTGCCTGCATCTGCCTTTCTTTCCATCCTCACGCCAGTCTGTTCTTCCTCCTCCTCCCCGTCCTCCTTCCTTTCCGGTTCTTCCACATCCTCACTATCCCTGTTCCCCTCAGTTTGCCTCCACAGTCAGCAGCTTGGCATCCTGGCAGCTACAAAGAGGATTGACACGTTTGATGCCCTCTGCCCTCTTCTCTGCAACATGGAATCAGAATTTTACTTGCAACCAGAATTGGAGAGGGCAGGGAAAGCAAGAAACCCTGCCGGCATGTTCCTGGGTCTCCAGGCATTTAGTGACCTAGGCTTGTTCTGTTTTACAAATCTCACCCACTGTTCAAAGCAGTTAAGAAAATAGCATCTCAACACCTTCAGGGAGTTTGAGATGAGGAGGAGCATCAACATCTGCTTCCCATTTCTTAGCCAAGGAACTATGTTGGCAGGATGCATGTTTTGAAGTGAGATCATAAAGACTTGATGGAAAAGTGAGCTTTCAGGGTCCAGGAGCTCAGCCTTGATGGACACCAGAGAGTGCTGTACTCCAAAGAGAAGGTGTCCCCTGAGAGTCTGCTCCACAGAGACCTTAGCACGAGAGGCACTCAGTGGCCTTTGTTGACCTCCTGGCCACTTCACAGACCCAGACTGTTATAAATGTGTGAGTGAAAGGGAGCCAAAAGCAGCACTTGGAGTTGCCTTTAAGCTTCACTGCTTAGAGTGTGGTCCTTAGACCTGCAACACAGAAATACTTGGGCACTTTTAGGGATACAGAATCCCAGGCCTCACTTTCAGCCTACTGAATCATTATATATATATATATATATATATATATATATCCCAAAAAATTTTATATGCAAATTAAAATCTGAGAAGCATGCACTTTATGGTACACACTTGACAAATTCATTTTCTCACTTAATGAGGTAGTATTATCTATCATAATGATCCCCATTTTACATGAAATGCTCTCTTCTTTCCTTCTTTTTTTCCTGTCACATATCCATCCCATAAAAACAGCCCTACAGATAGTGAAGATAAATCCTCACATTCCAGACGGTGGTAGTTTTGTCCTATAATTCCTCCACAAAGGACCCAGGGACCGTCCTACTCATGCAAATACAGAGCATCACTTGTGGTCCTAGCACACTGGTTTCTGTTTTCTTTAAAGCAGTCCTTTCCCTTTGAGCAGCCAACACTCCTGCATTGACCAACATTTATTGACTTTTACCAGCTACTTTAAGATATCCACCTGGTCTACACTGCACAGCACGATATGGTCTATCCCATTCCTCTCCAAGGAAAGAGGTCAGTGAGCCTGCCTGAAGCACCTGTCAGTCCCAATGAACATTGCCCATTTCTTTGGTTAAATGCAGTGGGGTTTAGTTACCTGCGGCCAATAACACTGCAATGCACTGAAGTAGAAAACCAGACTTTCTATCCTGCTATATTTATTCATTGCAGAAAAGGTTCAGTACAACGAATCTGGAAAGTCATTTTGGTGTGCTGGATGTCATTGTTGTTTAACCCTTATAAATACTTACACTGGTCAACCAGCATCATTTCAAAAGTGAGGCAATATTAATCTTTATTAGGCTTCCTAAAATAAGTGATGTCAGAATCTTGAGGAAGGACAACATGAACTAACCTGAATGATCACATGTCTGTTGGGCAGAGGGCTGTGACCAGCACCATCTCTCTGAGATCCCAGCAAGCAGAACCTTATCTCCAAGCCCCAGGAGGGGCCATGCTCTGGAGCATCTTCCTCAAAATTTTCTAAGTTTCCTTCTGGTGCCTGAGGCCAGCCTATGTCAACAATAATATTCAGGAGAGACACTCACGTATGAGACTGGGAGTTTGGACCTACCCCAGACCCCATTCCTGCCTCTACCCTCAGCCACTCCTCACATGTGTTCAACCCCATTCCCTAGGGTTACAAAACTCACACCTGTGGGTTGGTCCTTGGGTCCTGTCAAAAGACCCAAGTTCCAAGAAGGTGGACTGGTAAAAGGATGGCTTCTGCTGGCCAATGCAAGATTTCTTTAATGGGATTGCATGTGATTGGGCTACCAGAATTGTCCTAATTTCAGGTGAGCCAAATGTTTATATTGAGAAGGACTCCACACCATCTACAAATTGCCTTGGTAAGCAGCACCCAGACACTGATGGGCACCCAGAGCCTGGGTGGGCATGACCTGGGGTGGGGGTGGAGGCAAGGAAGCCAGAAAGAGCTGACAAACAAGCCTAGGGAAATGGGCAGAGAGGGTGGAAACTCCCCAAGGCTTAGACTTGGAACAAAGTCAGGATGCCAAAGCACTTGCTTCCCTCCCTCCACCCACCAGCCCACTTTCTGAGAACACCATCCTCTCCTGTTTCCACCCACGGTGGACCCAGAATTAGTTGACTGAGCACCCATTGGATAAGAATACGTTTCTACAGAGGTGTGAGGGAGGTTATGATGAGTTTGTGTAGTCCCAACAACTAATTTTGTTCCAACTCCTGGAGTACGGAGAGGAATCAGACAGCAAGCCTCTAAGAAATGAAAATAACTGAACTTCCTCCTTGGCCTTTGTGTTAGCTGGGTTTTCACTGGAGCCTTGTCCTTTGACAGAACTTAGAACATGTGTATTTCAAGACAGAGGCCTGGGACAAGGAATAAGGCAGAGGGGCCAGGTTGTAAAAAGAGCATGTAATAGGGACTGCAATGTAAATTCTGCAGCCCCATAATATTTTGAATCATGAATTGCAAACTTCATAAATGTCTAAGAACAGAGCCTCCAGAATGCCCCCCAAAGTCAGGTATTAAATCCTGAGTTTGTTCTAGTAACCATGGAGCCATCCTTTGGGGTTATCATGTTTATTTTATGTTGGCAAAAGTTTATTGAGCACCTACTATATAGCAGTCACAAGGTCCATTCTTATTCATTCATTCTTCACTTTATTTTCTGCAGTTTAAACCAAGTCAACTGTTTGGCATTTGTTTGTATTAAAATATTAAGTGGTCACTTATTTGTTTTACATGTAGTTGTAGTTTGTATTCTGCATTCAAAAGCATTTCTACATAGTGAAAATTAAGATGGCCATACTAACATACCCTAAAGTTATTCCTTTAGTTTGTAGTATATTACTGATCATGATAATTCTCTTTAAAATATCAAAGGTTAGTAATGTGCTATGGTATTTCATATGCATTCTTTTAGTATATCTTGATAATAATTATGTAAGAAAAATGATGATATCTTCTTACCAAATGGTCTAAAAAGTTAAAGTGAGTTGCACAAAAACACATTGATTCAAGACTCAAGCAAAAAATTTCTTTTTTCAAATGTCATCTTTGTGGGCCAACATGGTTTTATAATTTGATATCCAAATTCCATTTCTACAGCTTTTTATATCCTTTCTCCTACAAGTTCTGGATGTGAACATAGCTCTGTCCCTGGTTTTCCAGGTTCATGACTGTTTTCTGTCTGTTTCTTTTCTCTCAGAAGGCCAGGGCTTTGTGAGTGAGGATGAATACCTGGAAATCTCCAACATCAAACGTGACCAGTCTGGGGAGTATGAATGCAGCGCCTTGAATGACGTTGCTGCACCCGATGTGCGGAAAGTCAAAATCACCGTAAACTGTGAGTTGACCCACTGTCAGGGAGTTTCAGGGGGAAAGATGGAATAGGAATTAAGGGAACAAGCTGGTAATGGCAATGCTGTTGTCTGATGAACCCAAGTTGCTTCCAAGAGGAAGACACTTGATCAGATTGTTGTGCCCCATCTCTGTCTCTACTGCCATTTGCCCTGGGGTCTTCCTGTGGTGGTCAGAGCTTTTAGCTAATGGGGAGAATCGTTAGCTCTGAATCGGTTTGAAGTCCTGAAGAAGACGCTGTGGTAAATGCAATATCTTCAAGCAAGATTTTTTTTTTTTCTAAAATAGATGGTTATGTTACTGGGGAGGTAGGGTGTCATAAGAAATCCATTTGCACAGCAGGTAACTGAATGTGCCTTTCATCCTTTTCATGGAATCACTTTGTCTTTCCCTCCACAGACCCTCCCTACATCTCAAAAGCCAAGAACACTGGCGTCTCAGTTGGTCAGAAGGGCATCTTGAGCTGTGAAGCCTCTGCCGTGCCTACAGCTGAATTCCAGTGGTTCAAGGAAGATACCAGGTACCTTGATAATGGAAATGGGGCACCTCTGAAGCAGAACTGATGGATCATTTCCCACATGGAGGGAGAATGATAAAGTAAAGGAGGGAAATATGGCAAAACCAAAATGCCTTATAGCCTTCTTTATAACAGAAGTCTTTTAGAACCAGAAACAAGAAAAATAAATAAATGGAGGAAGCTGGGAAATGGGCAAAATCAATTGCCTTTTTTTCAGAATCAAGATTAGTTGTACACATGGCAGAAGCCAGTGAATATGGCCTTTGGAACATGAGCATCCTTCCCCTTTTCCTCTTCATGGAAGCTGTAGCGCTTATGGTTTGAGTTACAGGAACTAGGCTATTTAGAGGAAAGGGTTTCTGTGAGGATTAAGCTATGGTATCTTGGAGTTCTCCCAGTGCCTCCTGCCTGCTGTTTTACTCTGTTTGGAGAACCAGACCAGCACTGCCTTCTCTGTTGCAGGCTAGCAACCGGCCTGGACGGCGTGAGGATTGAGAATAAAGGGCGCATATCCACTCTGACTTTCTTCAATGTTTCAGAAAAGGATTATGGGAACTATACTTGTGTGGCTACAAACAAGCTTGGGAACACCAATGCCAGCATCACACTGTATGGTGAGTGCAGGAAGCCTGGATGCAGTGGGCTTAGCCACATGAGGGGCTCGAGGGACTCAAGAGGGAGGAAGGCATGATCTGCTTGGCCTGTGTCCATTCATGCCGCTCAGCCTACCACCCTTAGACACAAAATGCTTCTCCCTGTCATTCTCCTAGCATGTGACACCATGGCATTTAAAAGGTGATTTATATTGCCTGGCCTCCTGAAAGGCAAGGTTTGCACCTTGAAAAAGGGGTAAAACCATAATCTGAATCAAGTTGAAGGCTATTTGCCATAAAGAAAATAGAACCATGGAACAGTTCAGTTGTAGTACTATGCAAAGATCTGGTAGGTAAAATAGATGTGCTTGTCAGATAATTTCCACAATAAGAATCTATGATTCTGGAGGGTTATATTTATAGTTTTAAACCAAGTCAACTGCTGCCATCATGATTCTCATGTTGATGCCATGTCATGTTCTCATTCGTTGGAATGACTGGAGCTATCCTCTGAGTCCCCATCAAGAGGACTGTTCTGTCCACAGCTGGAGCATCAGCCTTCTCTGGAGGTCTTTCTCTCCCATGTGGGTGGAGAGGTCTCTAGAGCCATGGCAGCCTCCCTTGAAAGGGAAGCTCCTTCTCTCTCAAAAACTTCCCACACTGCTGTGTCCATCCCCTTGTATGATGTTTACACCATGGACCGGGGCCAGCTTGTTGTGAGATTTCTTGTGTGTATGTATTTGTTTATTTGCTGAGATTTGGTTAGAAGGAAGCATATGGTGAGTAGAATGAAAAGGTATTCATTTTCCCATGTGCACATCAGGCCCTGAACAAGCTTTCGGCATTGACATAAACTAAACTATGTCCACCAACCATCTGAAATGTGTGATCTATGTCTTTTGTTTTCTCTCTGCATTGTGTGTGCATTGTGCTGTGTGTGTCTTAGAAATAAGCCCCTCATCAGCAGTGGCAGGTGGGTACAGCATGTTCCTTCCTTCCTCTGCCTGCTTGAATGCCTATGCTTTTGAATTTAAGCCTACTTCAAAGATAGGCTTGCCTGCGCCACCTCCCTGATTGATTTCTCCTTAGTAGATAGACCTTAGGGATTTAGTTTGTACAGTTTAAGTAGTGAGCATGTAGAATATTATAGCTTTTACATGCACACATATGAAATACTATTATATGCCTTAGAGGAAGGATTTTTTTTTCACCAAAAAACAATACACTTCTTCTTGGTGGCTTTTAAAAGGGATGAACATTTTGCTATTTTTGTACACAGCAACACCCAGAGGAATCCAGCCCAGAGTCCACTATTGTCTCCATGGGGAAGTCACCTTGGTGTGAATATTTTATATTTTCAGCCCAAGGAAAAGAGGGCTAAAAAGTTCATTCTAAAATCTTCATTTTAATGTAAAAGCACTTGGGGTCATTAATAGTAATAATAATATGTACTGATATGTAGACATCATGTTAGTGCTGGGCAAGACATGTTATTCACTTCATTTTATAGATAAGCCAAAAGGGGGGCCAAAGAGGTTATATAACATTGAAGCACCCATAGCTGATGAGTAGATACTAGATGACCCTCAGGACTGGGCCCTTCATCACATACCACAGTGTTTATCTGCAGGATAACTAGACTGAGACATATGCACACATTCAGACATTGAGATGGAGCAGCAGGCAGTGCTCAGCTCTACTTCCAGAGGTAGAAGCCTTGCAGCCCCACTTTTCTGTGATCACTCTCAGTCACATAAAAAGTGGTAACTTTTGAATCTCCCAGACCTGGAAGCAGTTCTGCAAGTGTATTTTTTGCAGCTCTGGATCTAAGACCATCACAAGCCACTGGTTCTGCCCACACCTTGGGGTCTGTGACTGTCCCTCCCTTGGTCTTGATAAAACCAAGAGGAAAGCATTTCTTTTTGGGGTGCTGCTCAGCCACTGACCCTGCTATCACCCCACCAGTTAGTGGGGTTGTCAGTGATATGAAACATGGCAACTGAAGAAACGTAGGACTGACAACTAGATAATCCAGGCTCTTGTCCCTCTTTCTCATTAACTAAGGAAAGAAATGTGTCATAGAGGATAACAACAGTAGATATTAAGACTACATTAGTTTACTAAGGCTGCCATAACAAAGTACCATAGGCCAGTGCCTGAAACAAGAGAAATTTATTTTCTCAGAGTTCTGGAGGCCAGAAGTTCAAGGTCAAGTCAGGAAGATGCATTCCCTATTTTTGATGAGGTTTCTGTTCCTGGCTTATAAATGGCTAATTTATTCTCACATGAGTTTCCTCTGAGTATCTGTGTGGAGAGAGAGATAGAAAGTTAGAGATGGAGATGGAGATGGATAAAGAAGAAGAGAGGGAGAGGAAGAGAGGGAAAGAAAAGCAGAGAGAGGAAGGAAGGGGGAGAGAGGAGGGTAGAAAGGGAGAGAAAAGTAGAGAGAGAGAGATTACTCTCTGGTGTGTCTTATTAGAACACTGATCCTGTTGAATCAGAGCCTTACCTTTATTCACCTCACTAAACATTAATAATTTTATTTTATTCTTCATCTCCAAATACACATGGGGGAGTTAGGGCTTGAATATATAAATTGGGGGGGGGCACAATTTAATCCATAGGAAAGACATAGCTTTATTTCCCAGTTTGGCTGACAACATGCCAGCTAATTATCTTTGCTGAGCCTTCCCTTCCCCATGTATGATTTTGGGATATTAATACCTGCTTTAAAAGGCTAGTGAGAGTACTAAATAAGGTGATATATATATATATATATATATATATATTTCCATAAATGCTCTGTTTAGATGTATGACTTTGACAACCTGCAAAAACTACAGACCTCAGTTTACTCAGTTAAAGTTGGGATACTATTTCCTGGCCTGCTGACTGTCATTGTGAATTATCAATAATATAATGTTCATCACAGAGGTATGACAAACTGAGAACATAAATATAAGGTACTAGAGTTAACGCTGGTATGTGCCAATGCTTTTTGTGAGACAGCCCATCTTATCACTGCTTGTCTCTGCCAGAGTTATTGCTCAACTGGACTTGTGCTCGCCTTTCCTCCAGAGTCTCCTGTCCACTTTCAGTGTGGCACCATCAATCCCCACAACTCACCTACCTTGCTTCATCCAGTTAGTGCCCACCTGCCATTCAGCATCCCTTCCTGAAGGAAGCCTTCCCTGACCTCTAAGAGTAGGTCAGGTCCCCCACTGTACACCCTCTCATATAACACTTCTAAATGCTTCCCTCAACACAGTGTTCCCTCAACACATTTGTCTAGCATTCACTCAACAAATACGCATCAGGATCAGGGATGAGCCGGGCTGTTCTAAGGGATGAGGATACAACAGTGACAACAAATAGATGCCTTGTCTCTATAGGCTTCACTTTCTAATTGCACTGATATTTTTGTTCTGTTTATTTAGTTTATCAAAGACCTTCTTCTTCTTCAGTTTGTGTACTCCACAAACATAGGGACCATGTCTGGTTTGATTCTTAAAACCTAACATAGCAGCTAGTCAGGAAATTTTTGCAGAATGAGTGAATATATACAGAGATTGAGGGTTGTGTTGGTGATACCAGGGACAGGAGTTCAGCTGTCAGGAATAAAATATGGCAGAATGGAGTAGGGCCCATGAGTCTCAGAGTCTCTTTGAGGCCAGGTTCTGCTGCTCACTCTGAGTGGCTTTGGGAAAGTCAATCTCAGCAAGCACTGGGTTTTTCATCAGTGAAAGAGTTTGAATAAGTTGTTCTTCATGGTCCACAAAGACTAATTCCCTGATACTATGCTTGAGTGGTAATAGCTTCAACACCATATTAAAGTGATATTATCCACTTGACAAACCCTTTCCGATGTCGATGAATGTTCTCTCTAGTTGCAATGCCCCCATAATTGTGGCTAAGTAGTACTAACCCTTACTACCTACAGGGCCAGTAGACTAAGTGTTCTACATGTTTTATCTCATGTGATGACTCTAGGAAGTAAATACTATATTTATCCCAATTTTACAGAGGAAGAATTTGAGAGGTTAGGCAGATTATTCAATTCATACTGGCTTATAAGTGTTTGAGATGGAATGAAGCCTATACATCCTGGTTCCAGTGTCTCAGCGTTGTTTCTACTACTTCATTACAACTCACAATACTTGGCAATCCATCACAGAGCTTGGTGGATGACCTTCTAGATGGAACCGGATATCAACAATGAGCTTTCTTGGACCCTTTTCCCACACCAATATCTCCCCTCCTCATTTAAACCTACACCTATTATTTTAGAGGACAATTTGTGCATTTACAACCCATAAACACTTACCTCCCAAACACACAGTACACACACACACCACATTCCCAGGCAGGCATTGATGTTTTCCCTCAAAGACTGTAAAATTGTTTTTAGGAGACCCTTTTGATTCTGCACTGTGAATCCATAATAACACACACTCATAACAAACATTTTACACCAACACATATTTCTTGTATTTCCTACCTACATGCAAAAAACAAAGAAAAATGGAATAAAAAGACAATGGAAACAATGGGCTTGTGAGTGGGCCGAAACCAGAAGTGATCAGATAAACCGTGAGAGGCAACATAGGTAGGTGGGAGACACTCCAAGATGAATCAGTGTTTGGCATCGATATGAAAGGTTTGTTTCTTGAACACCACTTACCATCCCTTCAAAAGCCACACAGACCAGATAGTTCACACAGGCGATGTGCCAACTCGAAGTATCATTTTAGCCTGTGTACTTTATTTAGCCCCAGGCAGCTGGAAGAACTGGAAAGGCAGCAGAATATAAAGAATAGACCAGTCCTGGGAGCAAGGAAAACTGGTTTCTAGTCCTGACTCTTATAGCCAAACTATGACTTCCTCTGTCCTATGGTTTTCTATGAATGACAATGAAAGGAGACTTGACTTGGGGTGATAAACACACAATGCAATATACAGATGATACAGAATATACAGATGATGTATAATTGAAACCTATATAATTTTATTGGCCAATACCA